TGGATCCCTGTGTCCTTGGATCCCTGTGTCCTTGGATCCCTGTGTCCCTGGATCCCTGTGTCCTTGGATCTCTGTGTCCTTGATCCCTGTCCCCGTGGATCCCTGTGGATCCCTGTCCCCTGTGGATCCCTGTCCCTGTGGATACCTGTGAATCCTTGTCCCTGTGGGTCCCTGTGGATCCCTGTGGGTCCCTGTGGATCCCTGTGGATCCCTGTGGATCCCTGTCCCTGTGGATCCCTGTGAATCCTTGTCCCCATGGATCCCTGTGGGTCCCTGTGGATCCCCGTGGATCTCCGTGGATCCCTGTGGATCCCTGTGAATCCCTGTCCCTGTGGATACCCATCCCTGTGGATCCCTGTGGATCCCTGTGGATCCTTGTCCTCATGGATCGCCGTGGATCCCTGTGGATCCCCATCCATGTGGATCCCTGTGGATCCCTGTCCCCTGTGGATCCCTGTGGATCCCTGTGAATCCTTGTCCCTGTGGATACCCATCCCTGTGGATCCCTGTCCCCTGTGGATCCCTGTGAATCCTTGTCCTCATGGATCCCTGTGGATCCCTGTGGATCCCTGTGAATCCCTGTGGATCCCCGTGGATCCCTGTGGTGTCCCTGGCAGCAGGTCAGGGCTGTTCCCAGGGGAGCAGAGAAGGAGGGAGGATGGGAGGGAATCCGAGTGGGATGGAAGTTGCCTTTGTGGGAGCAGTGGAATAAATCAACCCCGGGATCCACCTGGGATGTGGGGGCTGGATCCTGACTGGATGATCCACTCAGGATGTGTGGGGCCCCATCCAAACCCCACGACCCACTCGGGACGTGCGGGACCCCATCCCGACCCCATGATCCACTCGAGACGTGCAGGACCCCATCCCGACCCCACGACCCACTCGGGACGTGCGGGACCCCATCCCGACCCCACGACCCACTCGGGACGTGCGGGACCCCATCCCGACCCCACGACCCAGTCGGGACATGCGGGACCCCATCCCGACCCCGCAGCCCCCCCGAGCCGCGGGTTCCGTGGGTGCAGGTTGGACCCTTCCCTCCCCCCCCTTCCTCCTCCCCGTGGTGCTCAGGGTCTCCGGTTCCTCCCTCCGCCATCACCCGTGACCCCCGGGGACCCCCTTCGTCCCCTCCCCAGCACCACCAGGTCTCACCAGTGGGGCGGCCCCACTGGGGACCAGTGGGCGGGCGGGTCCTGGCGCGGCTCCCGCTGCGAGGGACCGGTCCTGCGGGGCGATGCGGAGCCACCTCGATCCAGCCGCGGCCGGAGGAGCCTCTCGGAAAGGGCTTTGGTGGTTTTTGGTTTGGTTTTTTTTTTTTTGGGAGCTCCCGAGGAGGGTTCGGGTTTCGGCTCCCGGGCAGGACCCGCCCAGGGGAGGAGGATCCGAGGAGGGCCGAGAGAATCCGAGGAAGGGCCGCGGCTCCTCCGCGGCCGCGCAAGGCGCTCTCTTCTTCCACCAGGAGCTCCTCTCTGTCTCTCAATCTCTCTCTGTCTCCGCGATGGGCTCCGAGGCTCCAACTTTCCTGTGAGGCTCTCAGAGGCAGCAGGAGGAGAAAGAAGGGGGGGTTGGTTTATTCCGCGGGTTTTGGGAAGCGGCTCTGCCCCTCCGGGGAGATGGGGATCCCCTGGCAGGATCGCCGGGGCGCCGAGGTCGATGCTGAGCGCCGGGTTTGGAGGCGGCGTTGAGTTGCCAGGTAAGAAGTTTTTTTTCCTTCTCGGGAGTTAAAAAAAAAGAAGAAAAAAGATGGAGAGGTTGGCCCCAAAGCCGTGGGTAAAACAGGCTGGATTTGACGCCCCCACCCCACCCCCCGGGAGCTTTTATGGATCGGTTGTTCCGCCTCGATCGTGGTTATTAAAGCGGGAGGCGAATTCCGAGCCCTCCATCCCCGCTCCACGCGCCGCAACAAGTGGCGGCGGATGCCTTCCCACACATCCCGGAGCCCGAGCAGTTTCCCCGGGAGGAACTGGAATCGCCCGGGAAATTAATTACAAGAGGAATCGCACACCTTTCCCGAGTGGAGGAGGAGGGCGCGAGAAATCCCCGGAGGAGAAGCGACCCGTCCGTCCTGCCCTCCCTTTCGGGCCCGATTCCTGCCCCCCCTCCCCCTCCCCTACCCCCTCATCCTTCCCAACCCCCTGGAAGAGCCGCGCTGGGATGGCGGGGTGGGCCGAGCCGTGTTTGCCGATTGCTCAAGGAGAAGGGGGCCGTGAGCGGGCGCAGCTCGGAGCCAGCGGCTCGTTTTACCGAGTAAACAAAGCCCGGAGCGGAGAGCCCGCGGCTCTCGGGGAGAGCGGAGGGAGCCCAGCCCGGGGAGGGGATGGGTGGGAGGGGAGGGGGGTGTTGGAGGGGTTTGTTGCTCGGACACCGAACAATGAACTCAGCCAGCCCCTTTTGTGCATCGCGGCCCCAACAATCCCCGGCTCCTCCGCGGGCTCTTCTCTTCGTGCCACCCCCCCTAATCCCGAAAAAACCGATGATTTCGGGGGCGGTTTCGGGCCTCGAGGTCGGGGAGTGGTCGCCCCGCAACTCCTGGAGCCGCTCACGGGCATCGAAACCTGCTCGGGGACCCCCCCCTCGGCACCTCCCGCAGTGATTTGGGGAGCTCTCCCGGGTTTTCCTGGGGGTCTTGGCATCGGGGTGGGCGCTCCGGAGTTCTCTGTGTGTGCGATGCCAGGGCTTGAAGTGGATGGGTGGGGGTGGGGGTTTATAAAATAGGGATTTTCCACCCGAGCAGGGACCGACAGGACAAGACGGGGTGGGGGTGGGGGGTGGTAAAAAGGGACTCGAAGCAAAAGAGGAAAGATTTAAGTTGGATATTGGGAAGAAATTTCTTCCCTGTGAGGGCGGGGATGGAATTCCCAGAACAGCTGCGGCTGCCCCATCCCCCGGAAGCGTCCAAGGCCAGGTTGGAGCCACCTGGGAAGGTGGAAAAGCGTCCCTGCCCTCGGCAGGGGGGGTGGAACGAGGTGACCTCAGAGTGTCCCCTCCCACCCCAATCCATTCACGGGTTCTGCGATTGCTTCCTGAACCCGAGCGATTGATTCGGGGGGGATTGTTGGAAGCTGCTTTGCCTCGGGGGGGGTACCTGCCCCGGGAACACCCCGGGGAAGGTGCTCGTCAACCTGCCCCGTGATTCACGGCTCCGCTGCTTCCTCCTCTCCCTCTCCCAGGCCTTTTCCTCCCCTTCCTCGTCCTTCCCCCAGCTCCTCCCAGTCCAGCCAGAACGCTCCCAGTTACCTGCCGGTCCCGTCCC